CTCATCGCTTCCCAGCGCACCGCAGCGCCGGGCTGGGAGCAGCGCTTCGGCCGCCGGCCTGGAAAGCTCTTCCTCAGTAACTTTCGACGCCTCACGGAACCTCCGGGTTTTCTTTGGCAGGGGCGTTTGCAGAGCAGGGTTTTATGTTTTGTTTGTTTGCTTGTTTGCTTGCCTTTTCTTTCTGGGACGTGCCCACCCCTTGCTGTGCTGCCAAATAAAAAAAATATAATGAATTATAACCGTAGGACGTGGTGCTGGTGCTGAAATGGTTAAAGTTTTGTGGTACTTTTTTTTTTTTTTTTTTTTTCCCCAGGACCATTATAAATGTTCTTGTTTAACAAACTACCATATACACCACCTGCTTTTCTATAGAGAGTGTTTCAAAGTAAAGCCCTTTCAATCCAAGCTTAATGAAATAAGCAGATAATCTTTCTAGAGAAAACTTCCTTAATGAGTAGTTCCACTTTATTACTGAAATATAGGCCTAGAAGCTACCGTTTTTTGTTCAGCTAACATTCCAGATATTATTGTATGAACCCTTAAATAACTTTTTTAGTCATCTCATCTTTCTAGTAAGTCACTGAAATTTTGTGTTAAATACTACTAGGAGAAAGGGCTGAAGCCAGAGTTATAACTGTTTCAAAAGACCTGATGAAAGTTGCTTCAAGTTACAGCCTTAAATCATGCATTGAAAAATCAGTACTTAAATGCTGTGTATAAAGTCATAAATAGCTTTATAGCTAAAAAAAAAAAACTGAATAATTTAAATTAGAAACGTTACTTTTTATTTAGTTAAACAGAAGTATGAAGCTAAATGTGCGGTTAGTGTGCCAAACCTAGATATAGGGTTGATCACTGGACAGGTTTCTGTTAGAAAGAAGGTATCACAGCAGATTATTTCACTTTTTTTTTTTTTTTTTGACATATGTGTAATTTGAAAGTCTTACCAAAACTTCTAATAATACGCTAAGAAAGAAGCTTATACCTATAATTGAAATGTAAAATATAAAAATGTATCTTTGGAGTTAACAGAACATCAGTAATAAAACCTCCAATAGGTACTGTAAAATATGTAAGACCTGCTTTATTAGGCTGTGATTAACCACTTTTGGAGATGGGGTTACATTTAGCTGAAAATAATTGCAGTGCTACTAGAACTGATGCCTTTTTGTATAGAAGTGTCACTGGGCTGTAGTTACATGAAGACTTCAGTAAGCCATTACCATAAAGTGAATCAGTCTGATTTTGTGTATGTTGTATTTTGCGTATGCAAAGTATGAGGTAATTGCAGAGTCTTTTATATCCTGTGTTCCTGCTTGTCATTTTTGTATAGCATTACTGCTGTATCACCTAAGGGGCGTATTTTTTTCTTTCAAAGTCAAAAAGGCCATTGCTTTTGCAGTGCAACTCCTGGTAAGGTATGGACTACTCCTGTCTAAATCAGTTTGGAAAACTGTTGAAATGTTGGTGTGTATTCGTTTGTTTTAAGCTCATTGCAATAACCAGCATATGGGAAATGTCCTTCTTATGACAAAGGAGATGAAGGGAGCATGCATCTTAATGACTGATTAGTAACACTTTAGAGCATTAAGAAAAACAATATGCTTTGATTTAAGCAATGAAATTGTTAAGATTAATGTATATCTGCTTATATGTGGATGGTACATAATCATTTAATCGTCTGTTTACAAGTAAATGCACAGTTGTGGTTGCTGATAATTTTTTTAATAGTATGAAGAAAAATATTAACTTGTACCAAAATTGCATTCTTATTACCACTTTTTTTTTTTATTCAGACTTTGTTCTTTTATATTGTATTTAACAAACAATGGGTTTTTTTTTTTTCTTTTTTAGTAATATTGCTGGACTCTAAAGCACAACAGACAGAGTTAGAATGGATTTCCTCTCCTCCCAATGGGGTAAGTACTCTAGGCAAAAATTAAGTTCCTAAAGATGAGTGGTTATTTTACCAAAGCAATTGAAAGACTTGATTTAAACTAGCGCCGCCTCATATTTCTCTGAGTAATCGTACCAAGTGTTTATGGCTTTTTCATTTTTAGACTGGAAAGAAGTGTACCTCAGGTTACAGTGTACAAATGTACAAGCTAATTAAAAGGAAGAGTCTCTTTAGAAACTCACCCAAATGTTCTCAGTAGCTTTATGTTTTGTAGTGTAATCCTTTGTGCTGTACCAGAAAGCTCTGCATATTTATAACGCGGTATTTTAAATCACTTTTTCTTTCTTCCTTTAGAAACAACAGATTTACTTCTGTGTGGAAACTTTCTAAAAATATGTTTTTCATTTTCTGTATAATGGGTGATCATAAATTTGTTTACGATGTTTTCTTTGTAATTGAATAGCACAGATTGAAGTGCTCTAAAATAAAAACATTTATACTGCAGATGTGTTTGAAATGACATTCCAAACTTGAAACATCCCCAAGTCTTGAGGAGCCTGATATCTGGAACTAGGCACAAATTACGCAGTTAAAGCCACCTCCAGCTTGCTTACAGATTAATCTCATGGTACTCCATGAAACACACCATTGTAAAGTACGTCTGTATAAAAAATGAGAAGTTTAGAAACATTTGTCTTATTGTCTTATTTATTATATATGTAAAATTGAGAAATGCTGCTTTAAGTCTGAATTAAAAGTTGTATAAAATCTCTTCCTCCTCAAGCCTCGAGGAAGAACGTTTTCAGAAAAAAATAACAGATATATTGTCCTTAGCTCTGTCCTACCTCAACTCAGTCTGGCAAATCATAAATTGTACGGGCAGTTCTTACTCATGGAAGCTGTCTTGCTGAACCCATTGTGACTCCTTGCATGAACAAGGACTTGGGGGATCAGGCCCTTAATCTTCAGCACATTAAGAAATCTGGAGCCAGAAGAGCATGAAGTGTGAGTGGGGATATAAAAGTGTAACAAATCCTTTAAATAAGAAGAATGAAAATCTCAAAGTGTCTTTCTTTAAAAGCAAGATCATAAAATCAATACAAGCATAAACTGGAAACGAATCTGAGGACTTCAGAAAGAATGTAATGCAAGCTCAACGCGTATGATGGCTAATAACCTCGCCATTAGCGTTTTGAACTGATTGAAGCCTTTACCAGAGGTGTTTGAAAGATTAGCTTGGTGGCAATTATGCTAGGCTAACCTGTAGATAATGAAAGACATGTCAACACATGTTACACATGTCAGCGTAGTGAAAGATGAAAGTAGAGTCAAATTCAACAAATAGTAAAAGGCGACTTTCAGAGCAGAAGCCAATTTCAGTCAGGAATTAAAAGTGAATCAAAACTAATGACTGGATTTGTATGCGTAAAAATGTTCAGAAATAGTTGCCTGTAAGTTAACATAAATGTACCATTTTAATAGTGTAATTTTGAAAATAAATGTTTTCCTTGTTTTAATTACTGAATTTTCTACTATGCAATAAAAACTTCATGGGAATAAACAGAAAATATTCTTCCTGAGAAACTACTGCATCATCACAGTACAGAATGTATCAGCCAGACACTCGTTAAATGCCTCATTCAACGGCAAATGTTACATCTAACAGTGTTTTCAAACATTGTTAAGATAACTAAGAAGTTAAAATACCCTATATTGAAACCAATAGAACAGGACACATGCAAATGAAATGGCATGTATATCAATATATGTTGCAGCAGGACAAAGAAAAGTTGAATTTTCTTGCTGTAAAAACTATTACAGAACTGGTCACTTTAAAATTGCTTTAATGAAACATGAACTTGGATGGCATAGGTGAAAACATCCTGAAGTACCAATGTATTCACCCCACCCCCCCAAGCAGGTACACCTCCAAACCTCCAACGGCCTACTTGAAATAATAGTTCTGTGATTACATAATTGAATCATAAATCGTATTTCCTTTTTTTTTTTTTTTTTGGAGGGTGAAGTGCAGAAAGATAGATTTCAATGTTTAATGCTAGGGATAATGTAAAATAGGACTTCTTATCTTAATTTAGTGTTTCATGTTGTTTTCCTTGACTGTAGCATAAGAATCTCCCTGATAGTCGCTAGCCTCATGTAGTGGGCTTTGACTCCAAGAAGGCTCATTTGTGTTTTATTATGAAAAATGGTTTGATTTTGTTAAATGTGGTTTTGTTTGTTTGTTTTTCGTTTTGCTTTCTATTTTTTCTTGGGAGGTGGGGATTTGTTTTTGTGGAGCAGTCCACATCAAAACCTGAGGAGTTGTGTGGTGCGTTAGTGCTACTTTCACTTCAAAGATGTGATATGTCGTCTAACTGGAATTTCTCATTGCAGAATCTGGCTCAGTGTTTTGAGGGAGGACTGCTTACACAAGATAAATAAAAACCCCAAACCAACTGAAAAAAAAAGGAAACCCAGCACTACCTGATGTGAAATGGAGAATATAAAAATCAGTAAAATTTTAGTCTTCGTGCCTTTTTTGTCATCTTTGTATTTTGTTCTTTCATTGTGTTTTCTTTTTTTTTTTTTAAGTTTGGTTTGGGTTTTTTGTTTTTCAGTGTGGCAGAGCCAAAAGGCTCAGTCCAGCGCCCCTTTTTTCTTTTCCTTGTTTGTACTAATTCTTATAGAGGGGGAAGAGAATCTTGCTCTTTCAGATCTAATAAATCTATTGTGAAGATAGACTCTTCTGTTCTGAGTTTAATACAGTTCAATATACAAACAGTTCAGTTAACTCCATTGGCATTTAATAATATATTTCAATCATTTAATACCATATGCATATGTAATACCATACATACCACATCTATATTAACTGGAGATCTTTGAAATGTGCTTTGATATTTACAACTTCTGTGCATTTCAGCATCTGCAGCCGTGATATATTTTGTGGTGATAACTTCCAGCACCAATTCAGCCACATCTGCTTTTTCTTGGAGCAGTATACCAACATTAAAATGATCTCATTTGCTGTCAAATAGGCTTGCAAAGTACTGTGTACTGCATGGCTCCTAGTCTGTGAAACCGATGCCTTCCACACTTGGTTACCAGTGTAGGGAGTGTCAGTGGGTGCTCCGTCCTGCAGAGGTGCCGAATTTGCTGGTCCCACAAAGCACTTAAGCACATGCTTACCATTAAGATCATAAATACTGTCATTGATCTTAAGTGTGAGCTTAAGTGCATTATTGACACAGGGCCAGGGGGCTAAGCGCCATACGGAGAAGTCATGGTTGCCTATATCGTCGGGTGAGGATAACTCAACT